TACAAGACCATAACAAGCAACACTTAATGTATGTTATACTCAAATGCAACTGCAACATTTGACTTCCATCGCAAGCCAAAATCTCATGTCTATCCAACTTCTCCATATAAGCCATTTGACTCATGTTCTAAAACTTCTTTCTGTAAGTTTATCCACAAACTTGTTAGGTCATGATATTATTAGTGATAAGGATTTTGAGAATGTCATTGACATGCTAACTACCTTGTAAATTTTTTACACATGAGTTGGTATCCTCTTTTGGTACCTTCTTAATATACATTCTACATTTTTATCTTAAAAAAAAATACTTAAAATAGGGTGACTGAATTATAAGGATTTATATAATATTATATAAGTGGCATCCACTTAATCCAGAACATATGCAGATTAGGGAAAATTCAGTAGAACATGCTCTGCTCACTTTACTTTAACATTTTATGCTTGTACAAGTCCTGAACAAGATTGATTCTAAAAATATTTACTTCCTAAACTGTACGAGCCGAAAACCTAGGATCTAGATTTATACTCAGATCCCATAATTTCTGGCGTAAATCTTCTTCCTTCCTAGGAGACTCAGTGGAGTAGGATTATCTCCTACATTGTAGGTCTCTAACTCTTGTAATACGTCTCTATATCTTTGGAATGTTGATTACCTAATACAGATGTTGACTGAGCAGGGTCAATAACTGACAGGAGATCAACATCTGGGTAATGCTCATATGTATAAAGAAAAATAGTAACTTGGTCGAGTAAGAAGCAGCATGTGGTAGCTAGGAGCAGTACAGAAGCTGAATTCTGGACCATGGCCTTAGGAGTGTGCAAAGGTATGTGGCTTAATCATATACTAAAAAAACTAAGGGTTGAAAATTCTACTTCTGTTAAGCTATTTTGTGACAACTTATCAACCATAAGTATTGCTAAGAATCTTTTTCATCATAATTGCACAAAGCATGTTAAAATAGACCGATATTTCATAAAATAGAAAATAAAACAAGAAGTAATTCGTGTGGTACGCATCCTTACAAGTCAACAGACAACAAACATCTTAGCAAAATCTCTAATGAAAAAGTACTTTGAAGAAATGAGTTCCAAGCTTGACATGATTAATATGAATGCTTAGCTTAAGGGGGAGTGTAGAAATCCTAAACAAGATTGATTCTAGGAAAATTTACTACCTAAAATGTAGGAGCCAAAAATTTTTATGATCCAGATTTATACTCAGATCTCATAATTTCTGGTGTAAATCTTCTTCCTTCTTAGCAGACTCAATGGAATAGGATTATCTCCTAAATTTGTAGGCCTATAACTCTTGTGCTCTTTGTTTATATATTTGGACTGTTGGTAATCTAGTAAACTAGAAAAAGAACAATTATCAAATAACAATACTTCATAACAACCATAGCAGCTGTAAGTCAAAGTTCAAGAATCTGATATAACCATTGAACCAGTTAGAAATAACAGATAAAGACAACACACTCACAAGAGAATCAATCTGCATGATAATATTTGCATAATGCAAGTCAAGGCCAGCAGGACCCAATTTCTTTCTTTTGCTCACGGATTCTTCCACTGAGGCTTGATCATCTACAAGATGACAAAGAAAAAACAAATTAAAAATTTTATTGAAATGTATAAACATCAAGTTTGGAAAAAAAATAGAAATAATAAAAGAAAAAAATTAAACCATCCGTTGAAATGACCTAGAACAAAAGATGAAGTATGGACAAACTTTATGCCAATAAAGAAACCAAAACAAACAGCCAAAACCTAAGCAAACTAAGTGCGCTTGATTAAAAATAACAATGGTTGTGAAGTTTGGACAAAAATTATGTTAACATGATAGATCAAACTAGACTCTAATGCTAATTGATATAGGACAAAGGGATCTTGAACCTCAATACTTAGAGAAAAAATTTTGAGAACTAAAAATTAGAGATCTCAAATCTCAATAATTAAATCAATAACTAATATTCGTATGTCAATTACAAGAATAATTTCCTATATAACTAAGCTACGGATACTGTTTATAAGTATTGGGATACATAAAAAGGATAGGAATTCTTAAGTCTATCTAAAAATTTTATTAAATAGAAAAATAGCTAATGAACTTGTGCTAATAGTCAGCCTATAGGTAAAAATTCCTAAATAAACTAATTACTTTAACAATACATAAGCATTACAATAACGTAAATATTTCTTAATATTGAAATATGTCCAATTCAAGAACTTTGTGTGCTATACACTTTTAAAATAGGTTATGAGTTCCACAAATTAGTATTACTTACTAAGTAGTAACAAACTTTCAAAACCATTTAGCCAAAACAAACTTTTAAAATCATTTAGCCAAAAGGGATTTGTTGAAAGCGAACTGATGTATGATGCCCAACCCCCTTTATGAACAGGACGTTTAAGAAATCCCATCAAACTATAGCTAGCTGGTACAATTGCCAAACTGTGCATAACGACTCTGTCAGGTCGTACTCATTATTGCTCATACAAAGAAATTGTAGAAAAAGATTCTAGCATAACTACCAATATAAATCCTGATTAACTAACTTTTCTTATTTCAGCCCTAATTCGACTAACATTGTTTTCCCACTATTTATGACATCTCTCCTTTCTTTGATTTGATTTTTTCCTTGAGATCAATATGTGGAAAATTGTGCCTTCAGAAAGGTCTAGTCTTCCCAAGTGGTTTCTTCTTTTCCCAAATTCAACCATTTGACAAGGGCTTGTTTGACATTCCTTCCTTTACAATGAATAGCCCTCTTCTGGAGTATGAATTCAGGCTCCACCAATATCTGATCTTGGTCATCAGTTACAGGGTCTGGCCTGTGGTTTTGGCATTTCCCTGATAATATTTAGGCATAATAGATGGAACATCGAGCGCATGCATGTATTGTCAAGCAAGGACAACTTGTAAGCCACAACTCTGCTGCCTCTACTATTCAACACAACCTGGTACTTTGGGGCCAATTTGAGCCCTTTTCGGACAGCGATAGACGACTATCAGTAAAGCTCAAGCCTCAGCACGACCCGGTCTCCCTTCGTGAAATTTCTCTTAGACCTTTTAGCATTTGCATAGTTCTTCATTCTTTTTTGGGCTTCCACCAAAATTTCCCTTAGCAGTTTATTCATGTCTTCCCTATCTTTTAACCAATCTTCCAGTGGGCTAGCTATAGTTTGTCATTCTTTTGGCTCCATTGTCAATGGCACAGGAAATCCATAAGGTGCATTAAATGAAGTCATTTTCAGGACAGAGTGGTAGGTCGTATTATACCACCATTCAGCCAGGTTAAGCCATTTAATCCATGTCTTCAACTTCCTAAAGGCCATGCACCATAGATAGTTTTCCACACACCAATTCACCCTTTCTGATTGGCTATCTGTTTGGAGATGATATGTTGTCCTCATTCTTAGTTATGTTCCCAACAGTCTTAACACTTCTTTCCAGAATGGACATGTACATATTTTGACTCTATCAGATATAATGGTTGTAGGCATTTAATGCAGTTTGTAGATATGATCTAAGAAGACCTTTGTAACCTTTTGAGTCGAAAGGGATGAGCCAAAGCCAAAAAATGGCCCTATTTAGTATATATGTCCACTACTACCATCATTGTATTCTTCCCTTCTGATCTTGGCATTTGTTCTATAAAATCCATACTGATGTGAGTCCAGCCTTGCTTGGGGATCAACAACGGTTGCAACAGTCCTAGGTACAGCACATGTTCCCTTTACACCTCTGGTACTCGTCACATTTTCACTCAGATTCCACATCCTCTTTCATTTTTGGGCAGTAAAACCCCTTGCTTCAGTGTTTCTAGAGTTCTTTGGATGCTCAAGTGGTCTTCCAAGAAAGAATTGTGGTAGCATTTAATAGTTCTCACATACCTTTCTTCCTTTACCAATCCAGATTCTCCTTTTACATCAAAGGATGTCATGACTGTAGGTGTAGGGCAGTCTTGATTTCTAGGCAATGGAAAATTCAATGCCTGTAGTCCACACTGAACCGCCAACTTCCATCATTCTTTTAACTAGCAGTACAAAGCTGGCAAAAAAGTTGTGGCTGTGTGCAACAACCTCACTATCCATCATCACAAAAACCTGCTTCTCGATTTCTGACTTGTGAAAATAGGATTATCTATATGGCTTGACGTTTATTGGAGCAGAACTAGGAATGAGAGTTGTAGAGTGATCAAGCTCCCAAGGAGGGGATAAGATATATGACCATTGAATACAATCTCACATTTACTGAGGAGGTTTGGTATAGCCTTGTCCAACTCTTCTTCTGTTTCTCTAGACACTGTCTGCTTCGTGGATTCCCTCATGATATATTCCACAGAGTAAATCAAGTTACTAGCACCAGCCAACTCTCTTTCTATGAGCTTGGAAAGTCCTTTCTCATCCATACTTTTTAGCCCTCCCTTTTGTCTTACTCTTAAATCAATAGTGGTTGTCCCTCCATCCTAATCATAATTTGTAGCTTATGAAAATCCAACAAGACAAGACCATGTTTCTTCATCCAATCAACTCCTAAAATGACATCAAACTGCCCCATGTACAGGACAAAGAATGAATGCAGGAAGCTTACCTCTTCCATGGTCCACTTCACTTTAGAGGTGCCGTAACTACTGAGTATTCCTTGTTCATTAGCTACCAGAACCTTGAGGAGTTTAATTTCAATCAGTTGTGTCTCACATCAATCAACCACCTTATTTTCTATATAAGAGCATCAGGTCTCACTGTTTATGAGAATCAAGATTGGTTTGGAACGTAAAGATCCCTAAACCATCATGGTACACTCACTCTCTTGGCCTTCTATTGCTTGCAATGAGATCTTCCCACTATTTGTTTCTTCCTCCACTGTCGCGATCACTTCCTCCTCTTTCCCTACCACCTCTGCCTCCATTTCTTCTGTTCAGGGGTTTGGTTTTCAAGTGGTAATCTAGGGTAATACCTTTTGCCACATGTAGCAAGGATGGCGAGTCTTCTTAATCTCCAAGCCACTACGGTTAGTATTATGAGGAATTGTGGCTTTAGTAAGGGTTGTCTTGGTTACAAAATTGGTATAAGGAGAGAGTTTGATGGTAAGAAGTTTGGTGTTATGATGGTGGAAGTTCCTAAACAAGGCTTCTAATTGTTGAGCATGGAGTCCAGCTTCTTTATAGGCGAGACTAAGAATATGATGTTTAAATAGTTTGATAGTAGGTCGTATTTCTTCACTTAATTCATTCACAAAAGACGAAATAAAACAAACTTCATCTAAGGTATAATTTATCTTAAGCACGTGTGGCGTCAACTCTGCAAATGTTTCCTAATAATCTTGCTAGGGGACCTTCCAGCCTGAGTCTATTGAACTCCTCCATGATATCAAATACCGCAGGATCTCCAAACATTCTACTTATCTCTTCCTTGAACGCTATCTATTCCATGTGGTTCCTGTTTTGTGACTACCATTCTTGGAACCACCGATTGGATTTATCCCCAAGAAACAGGAAAGCAAGCTCCACTTTCTGGTCGCCAGGCATCCATACAACTAGAAATACTTATTGCAATGCCTCATCCATGTGCTAGGGTTGCTTTCTTCAGAGACTAGGATATCCACCCTAAGAGTGTTGTAGCCATGACCATGCTCAAGTGGTTTTGAGTGTGGCTAGAGCTCTCAATTTCCTTGCCCTTCAAGGTTGGCAATAGTCCCTTGTGCTACAAAGCACTTTCTTGGGCTTGCATAAGAGCTAAGGTTGGTGGCACATGGGAGGTTTGAGTTGTGGGGGTTGGTGTATGTTGATTGAGAGCATAGTTTCAAACAGCAAGTTCTGTAAAAGAAGGTTATTTTCAGTGAGTTCAGTATCGATAGTGTTGCATGTCTCGATCATAACGTCTTCCATCCGTTGTTCCAACCCCTTTATAGATTTTTCCTCTTAAATCAACTTTTGGTTACCCGTCATTGGGGCCTTTCCTTTGTTTTTTGCCACTTTGGATATTGAAGATACAATTCCACCAAGTTCAACTGTCTCAATACCAAGTTTTTAAGGTTCGGGTTCACTAGTCACCAGACCTGACCCTTACAGAAGACTCAAGGATAATGAGGGTTAACAATAGAGATTGAGTAGGAGAATAAAAGAGAGGAGAGAAGATGAGAGAGGAAGGAGAAAAGAGAATCTAGTGGGAAGTTTGATACTACTAGATATTTCATTGGTAGTTATGGTTAGGGTACTTAATTATAGAGGCCTGGCACTAGTCAGCTAGTACAACTGTTAGACCGTGCATAACGACTCTATCAGGTCGTACACAATGCTGCCAATAACTACCAATACAAACTGTAAGTAACTAGCTTCCCTTCTTTCAACCCTCACCCAAACAACTGACATTGTTTTCCCACTATTTATGATAGACCTCACATGTTGTCCTCCTTAAACTTCACTCAGAAGAATGTGTGAACACTTGAGGAGAAATAAGCTTTTCTTGCAACCTAGAATCCAATTATAATTCTCCACAACTAATACGCAAATAAGAAGTAATTTGAAGTTGAAAGAAAATCCTTTATTAGCCTTATAGAAGCTTTTGATAGTGATAAGACATCTGAAGATGAATGAAACTCCTAACTAGCCTTTTAGAAAATTGTGATAGTGATAAGGTGTTTGAAGTTGAAAGAAATTCTTGCTTAGCCTTATAAAAGCTTTTGATGGTGATAGGAAACTTGGAGCAGGAGCTTTTAATGTTCATCATAACTTATTTATGAATTAGTAACTATATCAACAAGAACAAAACCCTCTGAAGGAGGCATGTCCTTTTTGTAGACCAATTTCCTCTCTCTAACTATTATGCTAGTTTTGGCCATTTCTTTTCACATTGAACATCACAATGAAACTTTAAAAAAAAAAAATAAGCATCACAATGAACTTTAACTTTGTTTCCTCTGGTTCTTCCTAACAAGAATATTCAAGCTTACATGAAAATGAAGGTAATTACATTCTCTATGAAATATACAGAAAACTTATATCAAAAGAAAAATCCAGAGGAAACCGGAGGAGATAGAAAGGAAGAGGCAAGTAGAGAGTCAATGAATATATTGAATTACATTTTGATCAAGAAATATATATTGAATTGAAGTAATATAAAAAGGTAAAGATATGCACACTTTCCATCAATTTTTCTAAAAACATAGGATGATCATTTGATGCAAAATGGATTAGCTTAAGATTATCTAAATAATTAGAAATCATAACTATATACATATAAATTTAATATTCTATTAAGAGTTTATTATTTTAGTCTTAGAATGCTTTAGGATATTATTCTTATTAGTACTTTCTATTTCTTTATTAGGAGTAATATTAATATAGTTTCCTATTATTAGGAGTAATACTTTCAATCTTATTAGTTTTGTTATTTCTTTATGAATTCTATTTAGTAGATGTTACTTCCGAAGCATTATAAATATTTTTGTCATTTCATTTCTTCATACAGAGTTTAGTTGTTTAATAAAGTATTTCGAAAATTTCTCAATTTTCTGGTCATGTAATGCAGTTAAACCCTTAATCTAATACTTAAGACTTCTTAGATAAAATGTCTAAATAATCTTAGGTGCAATGTTTGGATTATTTATAGATTTTTAAGTAGGTGAATTAATCCTAATTTATCTTATATCAATCATAAATATTAGCCCCCAAGTGACAAATCCTAATTGTGTTGCCCTTAAATAAGAATAAATATCATTAGGAATCAAAAGAAAATAATACAAGAAAGAAGATAAGGGATCCTACTGTAGCAAAATTCCACTGCTCTCTGGGGGCCAACCAGGCAAGATGAACATTATTATGACATCCACAAGGCAAACCTTGAAATTTAATAACATGGTTGGGGTGTGATGTCAAGATCTTTAATCAGCATCCAAGATCATCATTGTATTTGGGATAAGGTTGTGTTTTTCGCTGCTGTGTCTGCTAAAAGTACATGGATTCTTCAAGGATATACCTATATTTAGTTTGCAAAAAAAGTGGAAGGCCTTTATATGTTGAGCTCTCCCACATTTCCTTTCTCTATTTCGGATTCTTGTTTTCTATTCGGGTTCTCTTTTCTTATAAGAGTATCTTGTCTTCCTACCTTGAATTCTCTTACTATATTAATATAATTGCATCAAAATGAAAGATGAATCTTAAAAGATTTAGGAAGTTCAGGTAATATAATTTGATGATGAAAGTGACACAGATTTTGGGATGAGAATATGTGCAAGCAAGATAATACGTACTTGAATCACCAAAGATATTATGCATCTCCAGCAGTAAATAATGGACAATATCTACAAGCTTCTCCATTACCTGTAATACAATAAAGCATGTCACTTGGCTCAAATGAACCCACTCATTCTTGTATATTTGAAGACTCAGCTTTGTATGGGAGCTAATTAACTATAACCAACCAAACATATTGGAGAAATTTTAAAATCAAGATTCAAGAACTGAAACATAGTCCAAAGAGACGTGATTCAAAGAGGTAAATAGTATCTACCTCCTCCAAGCTTCTCGACCAAAGTGACTTCTTCCTTAAAATTTTCACTTGCTTTCTTTGGCCTTTCAGTTCTGCTTTCAAAATTGTAAGGCCGTTATCTACATCTCAAAGAAGACATGCAAACAGTACATAAGATGTTTGTTAGTTTTTCCTTTTTCTCTTAAAAAATTGAGATAAAACATCACAAACAATAGGTTCTGATAATTACCACTAAAAACAAAATAACCAATCAAACAATTGTAATAGATAGAATCCTAAATAACCAATCAAAGACTTCGAAGGCTTAATCCGAAGAAATAATTAACATCCAAGGTAAATATTAGAATACAATTATAATAAACAGTTATTATCAAAAGTAGGGACAGTCATATTCTTCGTGTCATACATCCTCTTTTTAAGTGGACCAGTACAAGCATCATTGCAGGCATGCGAATTTGACAAAGTAAAACACAAACAATAGGTTGGTTACTCATAGATAGAAGTATTTAACATATCAAAATGTTACCTGCTTGTTTGCTTTCCACAAAGGAGGTGGAGCGATTATGTTTCAATGCTCCTGGGGGCCAATCTCTCCCACCCTCCATCCCACATCTTCAGTTATGTCAATATACACATTTTTTTAGAAGAAAAAAGTATATTCATTGGTGGACAAATTCCTACATCAGAAAGTTTCTCTCCAACAAATGCATCTAGGAATAGGTCAACCTGATGGCACCTCACTAAATCGCAGTAGCATTTTTGGTCATCAAGTAACTATTTGATTTAAACTTATAGTGACTATGTTCTGGCTGAGGAGCGGTATTCTAAAAGGGTTTAGGGTGTTAATGTGATCAATCCATGGAGTTAAGTTGCCAAAAACTTGATTGCTATCCAAAGACAATAATACTTCTTCTTTTAACAAAAAACAAAAACAAAGGAATGCAACCCGTACCGCCTTGGTGGTATCGAGTATACTATCAGTATACAAAATATTAAGCTTCATAAAAAGTGGTTATATGTTAATAAAAATTATTGATGTCTAGATAAGATTCACTAATTATATGGTTACTGCTCCAGTTGTGGTAAGTTAACTAGCCAAGATAGCAAAGGGGACCAATCAGCTACATGGGTCCAAAAGCCAACCCCATCAATGAGTATTATTAATAAAGCAACAGAGGGGCACTGTCCGTATACAAAAGACTTATAGAATTATTTATTACAAAACACATTCAAAAGGATCTACAGTTTCCCCTTCTTCAATAGGGGACCACAAAGCCAAAATAAATAGCCAAGTGTCCTAAACCTAGTACATGTCTAACCTTCTTTTTCAATCTCCCGGTAGTCAATATTATAATACCCTAGTAGATTAATTTGTCTCTTCTAGTGATGCTACATGTCAAGCTTATTCTGCTTCTGCACTTCTCAGTTATCAACTAGGATATTCTTACGAAGTATATAACATTCCTCTTAGCAACACAAAAATGACATCTTAAATGAAGAGCAACATTCAAAAAATAATATGAACATGGCACAACCAGATGATAAAGAGAATGCAAAATTACCTTTATGAGTGGCAGCCACATTATCTTCCTCTTGACGCTTATGCTGATAGTCTTGTTCGAACCTGTCCAACACCGGGAGTTCCTGATATAGTTCCTGTAACCCGAGAATGTTAGACCTTCTCCCACTCAATTTCAAAATAGTTCTGAAAGCATCATTACAAGACCAATAGACTTAATTTTATCATATGCTAATGCAGCTCATTAGTTCCTTTCTAAAGATGAAGGCAATACGAAAAAATGACAGTCAGATTATTAGGGTCAACATGGTGGACTGGAGTCAGCACAAGTACGTTTTCTTCTTGATAATAGCAAGAGGCTCTCTTCGAGATTATGTTGATGAACGAAATAAAAAAATAACTGCTATCTTGTCTCATATAAATTTTCTAAGGATGTTAGGAATGCAACTGCATTTTGTCCATTGATTTGGCTTAGCCAGGTTTAGTCAACATCTTAATACACATTGTCTTCATCCAAATTAACTAAAATTCAATGCCTAGCTCCATCATCTATCCACTTCAAAATCATTAAATATTGTAGAAAACAAAAGGGTTGTACTCACTGCAGTATACTGAACCAAGCTCATTAAATGTTCAACCACAAATTCTGCCTCTTCCTTCAACTGCTTTTGGGGGGTTAGTTCTCTAGTAATTCTGCAGACAGAACAAAAGAGATCCAATTAGAAGATAATGCGTAACAAATTAATTAAAATGACTCAAAAGCCAAGCTAGATGAAATAGCATTCTGATTTACTTATCAAAATAGCGTTCCAGATTATGCCATTGAGGATCTTTACAACGATTTCCAAACCGAACCACTTCTCCTAAAAAGATTTTCAGCTCTTCCCTGCATAAATGGATCACTCGGTTAATATTGTTTTTAAGAAAAATAAAAGAGAGAGAGAATAAAACAACAGATACTCTACAAGCTAGAACAATTAAGGCATTCTCATGATATAAATAAAACTCACCTCTTGTCTGCCGCAACAATTCTCAGTAGTTCATCTGTATCTTTTGAGACTAGATTTTGCACACCTTCTGAAAAAAGCACCACTTCTTTCAAATGTTTAATGCTTCTTTGTGAAAGAGATTGCATAAGATTGGAACCCTTGACAATTGTGTTTGCCACCTCAAAGGCTAATATTGAAAGTTCATTGCCTTTGATTACCACTCCAGAAGCAAATCCACTACTGGGGTTTAAATTTGTCATGCTACTCCCAAGTGTGTCTAGGACCTCCACTGCTTTTCCCAGTCCAAGCGTCCCAGCTCTGCTTAGACGTGAACTCACCTCAGAAACCTGTAAATTATGACAATTTTCTTAAAGAAATGTACCAAGACTATTTGGTATAGCACAGGGAAGTCTTGGCTTTTAATTCTAAGAGCTGATTATTAATATTTTCACCAGAAAAGACAGTAGATTTCTGGCTTTCTTTCAGAGTTTTTACGATCATTTGTTCTCTCTCTATCTCATTGACACACATGCTCCTCAAAGAATAAATGAAAAAAGCATGTTTTATTTTCAATTTAAACTTTTTACACCTCTTCTCACACATAAAATTCTTTTCTTAGAAGAAAAAGAAGTAAATTCAATAGGCTCTAATGGGATTCAAATCTGGATAAAAGAGAAGAAGAGAGAAAGAAAGACATGAGAATTTACAATTTCATAAGAGATATTAATTCAAAGAGGTTACAAAAGAATCTTTAACCAGTGTGTCTATATCACCAAAAGAGCTGAATTCTCAAAGGCCCTATTCTTCTCTTTCCAAGCAACCCAAGAAATAGGTATAGGGATAAGGGAAATGATTTTCCAAACGGAATTTAGCATAAAGATTCCACTCCAAACCCATAGCTCATCCTTGATAGATTCACCCACTCTCTAACACATCTCCCCATAAAGGAAAGTATTGATTTTAGGAGGAAAAATGATTTTATTTCTTACATTTTAATTTGTTACACCTGATTATTTATAAAATACCTATTTTACTAATAAGAAAATTTCTATTTTAGTAAATTTTTAATTACATTAAAATACCTAATTAAATAATAAAATAAAAAAATATAATATTCAATACCCCCCCCCCCCCCTCAAGTTGGTGCAGGGATATCTTTCATGCCCAACTTACAAATCAAGTTGCAAACTAGAATCAAATATGTTAGGCAGCAGCATAGCTCAACTCGATCCAAAACGGCTTAACCCGGCTCAAAATAGCTCAACCTAGCTCAAAACAGCTCTATTCGGCTCAAAAACGGCTCGGGTTTATCTCTAAAACGGCTCAGTTCGGCTCTAAAATGACTTGGATTTTCCTCTAAAATAACTCAAACTCGACTCAGCTCAAATCTCATCTCGGCTCAGGTAGATCTGCACAAAGTAGCGATCGCGGCCAGAAAAGCTACCTGTCGAATGGCTCTGTGTGCGGCAAAAAAGAAGCTAGTTGCTTGGCACTTTGTACGGCTCTGTGCGCAAAGGAAGGAGAACCAGATTGCGCAGCTCATCGTGCAACTCTGCACACGACGGAAGAAAAAGTTAGGTTGATCTGTTTTTTTCGCACGTCTCTGCCGCAGTTGAAGAAGAATAGACAGGATTAATGGGTCCATGCGCGCGACTGAAGAAGAACTTACTTGAGGCGATTGTGCCTCTCCACGCGGCTGAAGACGACGGATTCCAAGGCTCTCTCTTCGCACAGATCTGCGTGGGGTGGAGGCCGGCTACTCTCGTTCTTCTTCTGCTCTAGCCTCTCTTTTTCTAATCTTCCTCTCTTCTGATCTAGGTCTTTCTATTCAGCCTATTTTACTATTTTATAATTTTTTCAAAATCCTAAAATAGTTTTACTTTGTCTCTGATACCATATTGATTTTAGAAGAAAAAATAATTTTATTTCTCACCCTTTATGTTGTTACAACTGGATATTTATAAAATATTTATTTTACTAATAGAAAAATTCTTATTTTAGTAAACTTTTAATTACATTAAATTATCTAATTAAATAATAAAATAGAAAAATATCTTATTCAACATAAGGAAAAAAAAAAAGCATTTTTGGTAGTTACATAAATTTTTGAAATTCACTCTATCTTTTGTCCTACATATTTCTTTGTAATACATGCAAGCAAAAAAAAAATAAAGATCAGCTCACCCATTATATACATCTTCTAATATTCCAAATTCCACAACTAACTCTAATTTAATTTTTATAAAATCTTATATTTATCTGTATTCTGCAAAACTCAATATTTTTCTCCAACTGACTTGCAGAATAAAAGTTTTGATATTTCAATCTCATATCAAAAAGATATGTAATTGTTGAATTTTACATAATTTTTCAAGTCATATACTACTAATGACTTTAACTTGAACTTTCGATAACTAGTAATTTTGGTCCAAAAGTTGTTAAGCTAATGGTGCTTGAGTATGAAACATTAGAATTACATCAAAGCATTTGTCAATTTGCTGACTTTAAGCTAGCGAGACCTTAACCTTGTGGGATTTTGGATTACAATTTGTGATTGTAATGCATGACTTTATAAGGACATCAAGAATTTGCATTGTTGAGATGTGATACTCCAGTCCCATATTGAAAAGATAAATGATGTGAAATCCACATAATGCTTTTATCTCAAAAAAAATTCATATAATGCTTTAAATCACACATTACTAACAACTTAAGTTCGAATTTTTGAAAACCAATTGTAGGTTCAAAAGGTTGTTTGATAAAAATGCTTGGCCTGGGGCGTTACAAAAATAGTCATGAACAGTTCTTTCTATGTGGCATGTTATACACTCATCAACACCATTGTCACACACACGCACTCTGTACATTTTAAATAATCATCAATAATTAGTCTTATCATTGATGCAAAATCCAGTTAATCCAGCTGGTAGAATGTTCTGAATTTTGGAACCAGGATAATTGTCATTCTGATGCAGCTCATCAGTGCCAAAATAATTGTCATTCTGATGGATGAGCATAAGTTGTATTAAACTTTGCTTCTCTTTTAGTTAGCAGACCTGATTAGGAAATTATTTCTTTCGTGTATGTTTATTGTTTAGAAAAACTATAATCAATTAAGAAACTTTTTCTACTTGAATGGTCTATTGTTTGGGAAAACTTGACACAGATTTATTTCTTTTTGGTAGTTTACTTTTCCAGCCTTCCTACTCTCTGCCTCAGGAGAGGCTTAGAATTGTTTATCCAGAGTCAAAAATACCTGTGCAGAGAAATTCCTGGTCAGCCTCCAGAAAAATCAAGCCTATTGCTTGGTTAATTTAATAGCTACTTATTTATTCTCTCTCTCTCTCTCTCTCTCTCTCTCTCTCTCTCTCTCTCTCTCTCTCTCTCTCTCTCTCTCTCTATCTATCTATCTCTCTTCTCCCGCATCACATTTTTATTCCCTCTATCAACAATTTCTAAACCCCAAAGGAAAAAAGGCTCCCTCCCTCCAGCCTGAACTCAAACCCATTTTAACAATAATCTTGCTAGAAGTGCATTCAATACTACTGATTGTTTATGACACTTAAGCATATCTAAAGCCTTGTTTACATGAGTTCATATCTTGCAAACTGGCCAAGTTATTCAATCCTAATCCCAAAAATGCTACATCTTTTACATATAACAGGTTTATGAACCTTGTCATGATGCACAATTCAGCCACTCTCTCACATATTCTCCCCATAAAGAAAAAGAAAAAAAAAGAAGCATTTTGGTTGGTTAAATAAATATTTTAAACTCACTTAATATTTTGTCTTCCATATTTCTTTGTAATATATGCAAGCAAAAACAAATAAAAATCAGCTCACCCGTCATATATACATCTTCTAAACTCCAAATCCCACAACTAACTCTAGTTTTTAGTTTTTATAAAATCTTATATTTATCTGTGCTGCAACACTCAATATTTTTCTTCAACTGAGTTGCATAATGAAAATTCTGATATCCCAATCTCATATCAAAAAAATATGTAATTGTTGAATTTCACATAATACTTCAAGTCACACACACTACTAATGACTTTAGCTTGAACTTTCGATAGGAAGTGATTTTAATCCAAAAGTTGTTAGGTTCATGATGCTTGAATCTGAAACATCAGAAATTACATCAAAACACGTGTCAATTCGGTAACTTTAAGCTTGCGAAATCTTGACCTTGTAGAATTTTGGATTATAATTTGTGATTGTAATGCGTGACTTTAATAAGAACATTAAGGATTTGAGTTATAGAGATGTGATACTCCAATCTCATATTAAAAAAATATGTGATTGCGAAATCCATATAATGCTTCAAATCTCATATTACTAACAACTTGAATTTGAACTTTTGAAAACTGATGGCAGGTTCAAAAAGTTGTTTGACCAAGAATGCTTGGCCTGGATCATTACAAAAATAGTCATGCACAGCTATTTCTATGTGGCATGATATACACTCATCACCACCATTGTCACACACACACACACTCTTTACATTTTAAATCATCATGATAATTAGTCTTATCATTGATGCACGATCCAGTTAATCCAACCAGTAGAATGTTCCGAATTTTGAAACCAGAAGAATTGTCATTCTGATGCAGCTCATCAGTGCCAAAATAACTGTCATTCTGATGGATGAGCATAAGTAGTATTAAACTTTGTTTCTCTTTTAGTTAGCAGACCTTATTAGGAAATTATTTCTTTCACGTATGTTTATTGTTTAGAAAAACTATTATCAACTAATAAACTTTTTCTACTTGAGTTGTCTATTGCTAAGGGAAAACTTGACACAGATTAATTCTTTTTGGTAGTTTATTTTTTCAGCCTTTCTACTCTTGGCCTCTGGAGAGGCTTAGAATTGTTTATCCAGAGTTAAAAAAACCTGTGCAGAGAAATTCCTGGTCAGCCTCCAGAAAAATCAAGCCCATTGCTTGGTTTAATTTAATAGCTACTTATTTATTCTCTTTCTCTCTCTCTTCTACCGCATCACATTTTCATTCCCTCTGTTAAC